GATCAATCAATAGTGTGTGCTTGATTTGATATTCATGAAGTTTTGTTTGGGTATTTTTTCAGTGTAAATATTTATATAGATTTTTATTACCTTCAATGTTAACTGTGGGTACCCAGCATTGAATTTCTCCTACCACTGTTCAGAAAATAACACTCAGCTAAATAATCTCAACTCAATCACATCTCAAAATATGTTTATTTTTGCCTCAGCTAACTAAAGCTAAAGAATCTGATCCTATTGTATTCGGTAGAGCCCCTTTACTCCTCCTTCTGATTAATATTAAGAAGTGCACATGGAACATATTCTTTTAATCTGAGGGGATTGCAGCATGCCCCAAAATATAAGCAGTAGAAGATCTGTTTAAGGAAAAGATGTGCAGACTTTCAAATGTAGACTAAACAGTGTTTTTTCCCTGGCCTTATTTGTGGAACTGGTTAAATAGCTTGGCTGAAATTTTCAAATTATGTAATATGAAGCAGAAACAGAAAAATTAAACTTTCATTTTGGAAAGTTACAGTTACTTAAAGGTTGCATGTAGGATCTCATAATATTAGTTATCATGCTCCATGAATAACCCTCAGAACCAGCAGTCCTGGCATGTTATTTAAGGAGATCTGTGGTGTAAATGTGAAGTGTAATAACTGATGTACTCTTGAAGTGTATCCATCATTTTATACACATGAATTTAACAACAGATACTAAAATAGTTGAACTAATGATTACAGGGTTTAACGTTTTGTTTACACTTGTGTATTACAGACAATGCATGCTTTAATAGGACATTTCTAATGAGCATTTTTACTTCTTGCTTTTAGGAGCCACAAAAATTGTTCCTGTTGAGGCTGCTCCCCAAGAAAGTGAACCTACAATTCCAGAGGCAACAGTTCAAGACCCGTCACAACGAAGAGGATATCAAGAATATGCCATTCAGCAAACCTCATATGAACAGGCAATGAAATCAAGCAGGTAATTTTGAAGTACTTGTATTTGTGTTCATGCAAAATATGAATGAAATGCTTTCCTATCCATATTCATAAAAATGAAATATTTTCTGAGCTTTTTAAATAAATGAATAGCTGAAAATAATCTGTGAATAAGTTGTAGAATTTAAAAAGCCTGTGGCGAATACCTTTTAAAAATAAAGTAAACATTTCTGTACATCATTAATGTCTAGGGAAATTTTGACATATTATGTCACCAAGCTTCATTATTGTAAAGATAACTAGTTTGTTTTTTTTCTAGGTTGGGTCCAACTCAACTGAAGATTTTTACATGTGAATACTGTAACAAGGTGTTCAAATTTAAACACTCCCTCCAAGCACATTTGAGGATTCATACAAATGAAAAGCCTTACAAGTGTTCATACTGCAGTTATGCCAGTGCAATCAAAGCCAACCTTAATGTTCACATGCGGAAACATACAGGGGAGAAGTTTAGCTGCGATTATTGTACGTTCACCTGTCTCAGCAAAGGCCATCTCAAAGTCCATATTGAAAGAGTTCATAAGAAGATTAAGCAGCATTGTCGCTTCTGCAAAAAAAAATACTCAGATGTTAAAAACCTGATCAAACATATCAAGGAAACGCATGACCTTCAAGATAAAAAGGTGAAGGATGTTTTTGATGAGCTTCGTTTGATGACACGAGAGGGCAAAAGACAACTTCTTTATAACTGCCATATTTGTGAACGCAAATTCAAAAATGAGCTTGATCGAGACCGTCACATGCTTGTTCATGGTGATGAAAGGCCCTTTGCTTGTGAGCTCTGTGGTCATGGAGCCACTAAATACCAAGCCCTTGAGCTTCATGTTCGAAAGCACCCATTTGTATACGTGTGTTCCGTGTGCCTGAAGAAATTTGTCAGTTCTGTAAGACTCCGTGCTCACATCAAAGATATGCATGCAGATTTGCAGGAAACTTCCGTTTTTAACAGTTCTATCAATCAGAGTTTCTGTCTGCTTGAGCCAGGAGGTGATATCCAGCCGGAAGCCCTTGGTGAACAGCTGGCACAAAGTGCGGATAAATTGACTATCGTGAGTACTGATGCTATTAACATACCACAACCATCTGCTTCTAAAGGTGAATCAACAGCTGCAGATGTAAACCATAATGGTCAACATAATGGTGACTTAAAAATTGATACGGTTCCTTCCTTAAAATTTGAAAATCCTCTGGTGGAGAATGTAACAGAGACGTTGTGTCAGTCAGCAGATATAGCAGTCCCAAATATTCAATCCTGTGTAGCATCAGATTGCTTTCTGCTGAAAAACGGTACTTCTGGTCCTGACGAGTTACAAGTTTCTCCTGCAAATAAAGAGGAAGTTAATCACTCCAGTTCTGAAATGCAGCTTTTGCTGTCTGAAGACAAAAGTTTAAATCCGAGTCAGAACAATGTAGTGACTGAGAACCTTTCAGTCTCTGAAGAGAGAAATGAATCTGTTCCTTATAGTGAATCAGAAACAAGCAATCCACCAATTCAAAATTCAGCAGAAACCACAAACCCTTTGCCGGCACCAGAAGCTAATGCAGCCATCAGTCCACAGGCAGCCTCTTCCAATTCAGTTGCATCTGACGGTGGGAGTGGAGCTGTAGCCTTCATGCAGATCTTGGACAGCTTGCAGAAGAGACAAATGAACACAGAGTTGTGTGAGAGGATAAGGAAGGTTTATGGAGACTTAGAATGTGAATATTGTGGTAAGGAGCAGTAGAACTATGTTTGGGGTTTTTTTTAAATGTTACGTAGTGGGCCATCTTTTTTCTGCTCCTCTGGTGTATAGTGTTCGATATATTTGTGAATCATTGTATTAGTATTAATTTTGTATTTTGGTATGCATTCAGTCCAGCAAGATTTAATTTTTTGCTTTATAAATGGTGTGAAATTACTCAAATGTCCTTAAAAAAACACTAGCAGAATATAGCAAAGCGATACTTTGCTAAGCAAAATTTTCTCTTCACGTGAAATCTGATAGAAGCAGATGATTTCACTCTCCCCACCTCATAACTTTCACTGGGGCCAGGCAGGTTTAGGCATGTGATCAGAATTAGTCAGTCCACGCTTTAATGCTTAAACTTCATTATCAGCTTATAATAAGATTCATGGTCTTTTTCATATAGTAGGGGAGAATGTATGATAATGTACATTCTATACAATAGATATGTATATATTGTCATATTTTTGTGACATGTTTTGAATCAGTTTTCTTGAGATTAAAATTTTCATTACATAGTGTCAGGTCAAGACTGTTAGAATTGTAATTTTTAAAAAAATTTATAAAAGTGGGAATAATACATCATTTCCATTTATTCTAACTGAAAATTTTTGTGTTTTCATAACTGTAAAGGAGACAATTTGGGGTTTATCTTGTAGTCTTAATTCTTGAGAAAGGAAAGGAATTAAAGTTTGAAAGAAAAAAAAAGTTTTTGAAACACCATAACATTATACATTAGATGAATTGCTGTGCACTTTTTGGTGCCATTGTGTCAGAAAGGCTTTAAGGAAGGAGTAACATGAAAGGAAGTAACAAAAAAGATTTTGACAATCTCTTCTACTGTACAGTTGCATTCAGATTCTTTTTACAGGAGAACTGGTTTAAAGGACTTTCTCATTAAGACAAAGGTCATTGATATGTATTAAAGTTGCCCTGGTTAGTCTGTTTCAGGACATATGACACAATCTTTTTAGACAAAAGTGGTTTTTGTAAATATATTTTCAGTAGTGAAGGGTCTCTAGGACAAGTTTTCATTAAAGACAAAAGGGGCAGGATTCAAATGGTGTGGTTTGCCCTGAAAGAAAATTGGGGATATATTGGTATTTTCACTAACAGTTGTTTAAAAATTACTTTCTTCATGTCTAATTTCATTTTCAGGCAAGTTGTTTTGGTACCAAGTGCATTATGACATGCATGTTCGTACGCATACTCGAGAACATTTATATTACTGCTCCCAGTGCAATTATTCTTCCATCACCAAAAACTGCCTTAAGCGTCACGTCATTCAGAAACACAGTAATATTTTGCTGAAATGTCCCACAGAACATTGCGACTACTCTACACCAGATAAATACAAGCTCCAGGCACATCTTAAAGTTCACACAGAACTGGTAAGTAACAAATAAAATAGTATGCTTGTCTGAATTCAGTGTCATCATCATACTGTTTACAATCATGGCAATATTTGAAGACATAGGTAAGAGTTCCTACCTGATCACTCTCTGCATAATTCTTCTAGTGGCAAGAGTTGCAGCAACTAGGTATTTGGTCCCTCTCATATTAGTTTCCAGTAGAGTATGTCTGCATCCTTTTTCTCAGTTTGGTTTTCCCAGTATTGTCAGGTTCTTTGGGTTTTAAGAGAGTAAAATGAGATCTGGTACTATTGTCCCTTTATTTCATTCCATGGACCTGAATTCCATTCCTTCATAAATAGATGACTCTGGTAAAATGAAAATTTATTCCTCTCTTAATTACTATAAACAGAAGAAGTTTAAGTTGTTGAAAATAGGAGTCTTTTTCTTAATAGCTCCAACTAGTTGCAGCCATGCTCTTTGAACATCTAGAATTTTCTGTTGTGGTTACAAAGGTGAAGAGATCATGTTTTAAAGGTTCCCATCTTATTCAGTAAGTCTTCCAGCTCTGAATGACACTGTGTTAAAACCAGGTCTGGTCCGCTTCTTCAATTTGCCCTCTTATGTGTTTTCTCTGATACTATGCAAGGAGCTACATGCCTCGCTGGAAGCCCTCTTTGTGTAAGGCACTGCTTTCTGACCTTGCTCTGATCCAAGATTATCACATGAATAATCTTTTGAGGAAAATTTTTTTCTACATCAACCCTGCTTGCATTTGTTTCAAAAGTACATTTTAATAAATATATTATTGTATTCAGAATAAGAAATATTTTTAAACTAGGGAATGAGATTTTATTCTTCATTGTTGATTAAAATGCTTTTTTAGAAGTGAAATTATTTACATGCTTTTCTTGACAGATTAAGACAAAACAATTATTTTCTTTACATCAGTGTTGCCTAGCTTTTTCTTGTTTTATTGTTTTGCATGAGTGGCCCAAATAGGTTAAGCTATTGTCAGAAAAGTTGTGAGTACCATGGACTTATTTTCCTACTTGCAGGGTATAGTTGATCTGGGACATTCTAGACTTGTATACCCAGAGAGGTTTTAATGTGAGTACACTCACACAGTGTATGAACACAGGTAAGTTCCTTCCCATTCCAAATTGACCTCTAGAAAAGGGTGTTTGGCAAGTGCTTGCTCTCCCGACGTAAAGGATTTTGTCCACTTTTGACTGGAGTCTTTCTTGAAGGCCATCTGTAGTGCTTAGGTGGAACATACTACCTCATGCTATTTTATAAGAAAGTACTGGTATTAAATAAAGTACAGTTTAGGGTTTCATAGAGTGTTTGACAAGCATGCTATTTGTAATTAAACTTTCTTGACTGCTAATGCCAGAAAATTGTCATGAACTACATCATTTCAATTTGCATTTTTAATAATTTGTGCAGTAAAATACCTCTAAAAGGCTATTTTACCCTTCTTCTGAATTTATTTCTATTCTTATTCCAGCAGAGGAGAAAATACCAATTGTTTAATTGCAACACTCACTTTTCTGTCCTTTAAGAACAAGGAAACATTCACACAGATAAGGCTTTTCTTCATTCTTCACACAAAATTATGGTTTTCACTGATATTGTCTTGTAAATAAATCTTACGCACCCTTGGTAGAATGCACCACGTATGACAGATTCCTCGTAATGACATGAGAAAGAAACATCACAGCTCACTTAAAATTGCTATGATAAATATCGTTGTTACACTTCCTTTTACTGGTGAAATACGATGTTTGAATTAAGGATTCATGTTAATTTTTTCCCAGATGTGGACAATTTCTGTGTCGCTACTTAAAAAAGTTGATAACATACAGTGCCTAGTGGTTCAGTATCTTCTGCTGTCAGCCATGTGGGCTCTTGGCCAGTATTTCCAGCAGCTGAAGTTAAAGTTTAAAGATGTTTGTAACAGAACAGAACACTTTACTTTTGTTAAGCACTAGTCTTCTGTAACTGCAGGACAGCTTTAAAAAACAAAACAAAACAGGTGACACAAATGGAACATTTTTCTCTGTTGTCCCTCAATTCTTGTCCCTCAACTCTGTAGATGTTTTAAACAGAATCTAAGTTTATTACAAAATGTGCAGAAAGCTCACATAATAGACCTTCTTTTAGACTGCTTTTGAATTTATCGTGTTTATGATGTCTATTGGCAAAAATCTGTGTAAATGATGTCTGAGACTACCTAAGATAAAAGAGCCTAAAATTAGTTATCCTATATCCTTATGTAAGTACCTGTTTTTCAAGTGTGATGAATGTCCAACAGCTCCCACCAGGAGGATCATTTTCATGATACTAAATAGAACCGAGAAAATGCATTTCATAATTAAAAGGTGTGACAGTGCAATCTTTCAGAAGTACGCTTACTGATGCTTACCATCAAATATACTTGTTTATTTAAATGGATTGAAAAATTCATGTATTAGAATTTACTCAGTAACTAAACCTGACAGTTCTCATATTGACCTTTGTGCCCACTGCTTAGTATATTTACTTAATGCATACCTCAGTGAACAGGACCACTTATTCCAAAAGAGAGTACTTTAACAAACTATGCACAGTTAAATGTGGAAAGGTAGTTTAATGTTAATTTTAGTTTGCAAAATCAATTCTTAATAAATATTAAAATTAAAGCTTTCCTGGAGATAGAAGATATCAAAATCTCAGTTCAGTTCCTTGTATGAATGTATGTCTTTCATTACCTTGTTGCTGGCTGCTTTTCAACCGGATCCCTGTATTACTTGGTGAACAGGATAAATTATGGTTATTAAAAAGTGGTTTACTGTTCATCCTTGTCACTACTCAGTGTATAGCCACCCATCTTATTCTCTATACACCATCCAAGTCTTGTACTGAATTTGGGATTCTTTATTCCTTGGAGGAGAATGTATATGTGCTGCTTCTTGCCTCTGTATTTGCTACATGTTATTATTACAAGGAAAATTTTTACTTTTGAAGTCAGGGAATTGAGGCTTGATTCCAAACAAAACTTTTGCATATATTCTTGGATTTTCAGTACCATCTTTTATTTCTAAGGATTGTGTAGGGTTTTTTGACAATTCTTGGCATTTTTAGAGCTCTGTAGAAGTTCTTACCATGACACATGTGTTTCATGTCAGTGTCATAGCACCTAAGGGATGGACAGTTTATAATGACTTTAGAATAATTTACAGTTATGAATGAACTAGTGGTAACATTAGGTACCAGTTGTGGAACTAAACAATTCTGAGACAGGTACCAGAGTTTGTTTATTACCTTCAGTAGCTTTTACAATATTCAGTATGCTGAGCAGATAAACATCACAGAGGGGTTTGTCTCTGAAATTATTTTAAATGTATTTATGTTATTGATACTGCAAGATAAACACCTCTATAAAACTGGAGTTCAGACCCAGAACCACCACTTGCTCCTAGTTGTCTGCATCTGCATTCAGATACACTTCTGTGAGAGATGAGAAACCAGGCCTGTGAGAAATTAAAACAAACAACCTGGGAAAGCAAAGATTGAGGTTGATTGAAGAAATGCCTCAAACACTCGCAAGACACAACTCTGAGTCCCAGGGTGCATGCTGTGGAGGCCGAAGCTGGTAACGCTGCCCAATGTAGCTGGGGGAGAGAGCCCTGTGGAGACAGGACGGCTCTGCCCTGGGGCACCAGGGCAGATTTCAAGGGCCATGTGTCTGGTGAATGAACTTCGCTTCATTATCCATGAAATGCATATTAAAGTTGACACCCCTCAATATGCTAACGAGGGCTGCCATGATCATGCTAGTGACATCATTCCATGAAACACCTTACCCCTCTCTGTACATGGGATACGTAGGTCTGTGAGTTGACCTAGGGATGGACCCAACGATAGTGGGTATAAATCCAAGGGGGGAAGAAAGGGCTTTCTCTCTCTGCCCCTCTCCCTGCCTCCCTCTGCCCCCCCGGCCGTCTGGAGAGAGCAGTGAAGCGAAGAGGACGGATGCCAGCGAAAAAGACAGCCGTCTCCTGGAACCCTCGCCAGCAGGATCAGTGCAGGAACCCAGACGGGTGATCTGTATTCCCCCATTCCCTCTATCTCCCTCTTTTCCTTTTTCTGTTAAGAAATGCAAGGAGTATTATATTGCTCGCCACAACTTGCTATATACTTAGCCAATTATCATGTGTTCAATTAGTACATTGTGGGTAGTTAATAAATGCTTGAACTTGGAGACTTGTTGTCCACTCCAATTGGGGATTTGTGAATCTGAGTCACTTGTCCCTCTCGTCTGAGTGGGATGTGACAACTTTGGGATGTAAATGATTCTTGTCTGTGGAATTTCCTTATGCTGCTGACCTTTCGCGTAATAGCATAGTTAGAGCTTTCGGTAAGAAGTGAGATAAGTGAGCTCTGGTTGCTTATTTGCCCTTCCTGAGGAGTGTTCATTGTCAGATCGTTCCTGGTCTGTCTGCGATACCTTTGCTGCTGGAGCAGTGCCACTGTGTAGTCAAGAATGCAAGGTACTGGAAAGGGAGGGAATTAACCAAAAAAATCTATGATCTAATGATCAAGCACTCAGTTAGAAAATTGCTTTTGTTCTCAGTCTTTGCTTCCATAATGAATGTGAGATAACTGTTCATTTTTTTCTAGTCGTTATTTCACAAAAAAAATGCTTAAGCAGTGCTGTATGCAGGTGCTTGTCATTTTGTGAACTGTGATATCTGCTGCTTGCCAGACTTCATAAAAGTCTGTCTGTCTTAACTATTTGCAAATTTTTCTGTAGCCTGCTTCACACATGTGCATAGCCGCCTCATGGGTACATAAGATCCTTTTAGCTAAGTTTCATTTTAATAGGCCTCAGCTTAATTCAGGAATGTTTCATGAAAATTTTTAGTTGAACATCATGACAACTGTATTGAAGATTTCTGGATGTCTTCACTCTGCAGAAGTGTAACTTGGGAGACTAATGCTATTCCCATAGGCATTAGAAATTGAATTTCTGTTGATCTGAGTAGATGTAGGAGCTGCCTTTGGTTCTCTATTCCTCTATGAAATTATACAGTCAGATTTTGTGTTGAGTTGTGGGAACTTCTGCTAGAAGTGATCCCAGAGTACCAGTATTTAGTATAGCTTTGTTTTATTTCCTGCTCATAAAATCATGTCACTACTACTAAAAGGAGGGGAATGGACTGTTGATTTATAGAATATATGTCTAATTCCAGCCTAAACACTTTTTATTATGGCCATGGTCTTAATTTTACACTATTAACAAAATTGATAACAAAGCAGTCAGGAGTTCACACAGTTTCTTTTGAAAATAGTGGCAGATTTGCCATAGAGATCATATACTATATGATCGTATGTATTCTGTGTATGTTCATAAGAAGATACTTGCGTCATCAGAATGTCTCTTTACTGATGAGTACAGTAGAACAGCTGCTAATGTTTCTGATGATTTGCAGTGGAGGTCATATTGATTACTATTTGATTCATTAAATAAACTTCATAGTGGTCTGTGGGTTTAAATGCTACAAATATAGAGGCTTTTCATTTTTCGGGACTCCATACCAGTACACTTATCCCTTTAATTACCTTGGAACACATGCCTTAGAGAAAAAAAATTCTCTTCAGAGAGCTATCACTATAACTGATGCTTTCTTAGCGTAATTTTAATTCATTTATAGAAAGAGAAAGGCTTTGTGATTCCCATGTAAGTGGTCCTATTTTATAATGAAACAGCATAACCAAGAAAATTCTATAATAGTATTAGACTAATTTTTTCACTAGATTTGAGAATGGTTGTGGACCTGATTAATTCCTGATTTATGGAATGTCAGCAGTACTTTCAGTCAGAAAGCTACCTTTATTTTGGAATTACTTTAGGTTTCTTATATTTTCTCAAATCGGCTAATAGGGGGATTATGCAAATCTCAGGAAGTGTGGAAGTGACTTTGAAATTTAAGTAGCTGATTGGACTATGCAGATGGTCTTTAACAAAGGCAGATCCAGCTCTCTCGTTGCTTTGCTTCTGTTTGTGTCCTTCAAAAACACCACCAAAGGCATTTTAAAGGCAGGCACTCTTGATAAGTCATAGGATAAATAACTTTTATTCTTACCGGAGGAAAACTTGCATGCTGAGATTGTGATGAAGGTATTACTACAACCTCAGCCTAAATCCTTCAAAGTGCCTCTGTCATTGCCTGTGACAAGGGCACTCGGAAAAGCTAGAGCTGTGGTGGGGGAGACCTTCTTTGGGGCTCTGTGTTGTGACCTGGGTGTTCTGAAATATTTAATTTGCAACAAAGGATTTCTTAAAGGCTGTTTTTGTGAGTGATGGGGTTACACTGAAGGACTGGCACTGACACAAGCTCTCAGGGCAGCAACAGAACTCCTGAAACATTCAAAACTGATACTGTAACCTACAAAAGCCTGTGACACTGCCCTGGGCAGTGAAGGGTTTGGCTTCAGCTGGATGCTTTCTGTGAGAGGCTGGAGTTTAACAGATACACTTTGAAGGGACTTAGTGCTTGAAAGCACAGTCTGTTACACTACGAAAGATACCCCATTTTGAAGATCATTTACTGCAGAATTTGGTATAGATAACTTTCTAACTGCTTGAAGAAAGCTGTTTGGATTATTTTGTTACCATTGTCATATGAAAGGTATGTTCTTGGTGCCCATACTTTCATGTTGCTCTGTAGCTCTTGAGGCATTTACTGATGATTTTGATTTTTTTCTCTCAGGCATAGGCTTATGGCCTTGCCTTCCTGAAGAATATTAGCAAGAATGTAAAGTTGTCACAATTATAGCATTTTACTTAAAGTAGTGTGTGTGTAGTGTTGTTTCTTTTTTTTTCTTATCTGACTATGAAAGACCAAGGTGTATTTGTCTCAGTGTTCTGGGCCCTCTGAGAAATACTTAATACAATGAGTATTAAAGACTAGCAAGACCAAACTGTACATTAAAAGTATACTACATTTTTTTTCTTCATTTATTGTATATTTTGAAACCAGGTATATAGCAAGTTTGAGGAACAGACTGAAATCTGTCAGCAGATTTCAGCTGGCCCCTCAACAACCCATAAATGATACTGTGCTTATGTTTTTCTTACATGTGCTAATTTATGAATGTGATCATGCAACCCAGTCTTTGAAAAGGTGCAAACATTGCTACAAGAGTTTTATTAGAATTAATCTTCCAATTTTCATTTGAGTAACATAGATAGAAATCCAAAGTCACCAGTAGCAGGTTTAGAGATAACAGGTTATATCATTTGAGAGACCTTAATTAATTAACAGCTTTTTCTTGAGAAGATCTTGTCAGCATTGTAGGCTCCTTGAATCTCTATATCCAAAAACCAGCTAGTATTCTCTGCTGTTCCTTCTTCACTTGAGATTCTCAGGACTCAAAATGGCCACTGCCCCAACTCAGTCATAGCAAGATACTGTCCTTGCTCTACTCAGAGTGGTAATCCTTCAGAAGCTGCCATACCCAGTCCCTGCGTAGGTCTTCTCACAGGAGAAAATGACCTTCTAACAGCGCAGGAAGAATTCTTCTTGTGCTGTTGTCATATTAATAGCAATGAGAGCTTATATCCCATATCCTGCTGCCATTAAATTATTTATTGCTATTTCAGCCAATAGGATCTCAAGCTACTTGTGCTTTTAATTTGTAGGTACTTCAACATAAGGATTTCTTCCACATAGGTACATGACACTGAATGCAAAGACCTGCATCATACTCCAAAACCTGTTTGCCATGAAAACCCATCAATTTTTGCTTTCCTTTTAGGAGAGGTGTCCATTTTATAGAGGTATAACTGTGGCATATAGACAATAATTACCCCCTCCTGCATTTTTACTAGCTGTTCAGAGATACTGTTTGGTCTCAGGTCAGAAACTGATAGACCCTTATTCTCCTGTTACCTTCACGTTTCTCTTGTGTAACACAGGGGTCTGTCTCTTTTTGATACAGCAATCTTCCATGCTCTTCAAGAAGTTCTCTGTTATCCTGAAATAACTAGTGAAATACCCGTTTTGTAGCTTCAGCTTGCCTTTTACAGTGATCTCTTGGTAGTTTGGTAGGTACACATCTCCCTCTGGGTAACATGTTACCTTGTTATCTGCATACTTGTCAGGACTCACTAGACTTTACTCCATCTGTTGTTTTGATAACCCTTTCGTATATTAATCTAGTTAATGCAGAGCTGACTAGATGACCCAGTCATTTGGATGAGCGTCCAGTCTGTTGTGTCAGCAGGTGCTTGTGGAAAGAACAACCTCTTCAATTTATAATTTATATAATAAGTGGCAAAGATTATTTTAAATTGGGTGATTTATCAATTAATGGAGAAAAGTCCTACATTTTTCTGTGCAGGTAGATGTGTTTGTAAAAACATTAAAATTACAATTACACTAAATTTGCATATAGGAAGAAATTGCATCAAAACTCTCAAGTTCAACTTGTTTTATGGTGTTACATCTTTTATAACATCAGTGACACTGATAAAAGCCAGAGTATAAGGTTTTAAACCAAAATAGTAGAATAGTACTTTATTGGTAGTACATAAAATGCTGAATATTTATAAAGTAGTTAGAAATGTAGACATTGAATAAATAATGGTATCCATCATTAAGTCTTCTGCTCAATTTCAGTCCATTAAGTAGTAGTATAAATATACATACTGGTGGATGTCTTCAGAATAATGAGATCTGATCCTTAGGTTTCGGAAGGGTAGACTTGAAAAAAATGAAAAAACCCTGAATATTACTGCTTATATCAAATACATTTTCTTCTGTTATGTGACTTGATACTTCAACTCTTGGTTATCTAAAGAGTCAGTTGGAAGATAATGCCTACATTATTGTGTATATTCTCAAGTACACATTAATGATGTGCTTAGAATACTTTAATATTTCTTCTTCACTTATTTCACTATAAATATATTCATTTTTTCCTTAAAAACTGAACCTTCAATTATAACTTTGTTGAGAACCATGTATTACTGAATAATGACTGTAGTGATTACACCAGTGGACTGATAATGCAATCTTTTTCTTTCTTTCTTTCTTGCTTAAGGATAAAAAGAGTTATTCCTGTCCTGTGTGTGAGAAGTTATTTTTTGAAGATCGTCTTATAAAATCTCACATCAAGACAAATCACCCTGGTAAGAAAAAATCAAGGAAAATTTCTCACTCTGTTGCAGTAAATGGATAAAGGTTTAAAGTGAGAAGTGTAATGTGATTACATTCCAAAGAATTAGAAGAGTCTACGTTTAATCTAACTGGTTTAGAGTAAGAATTATATTAGTTGTGCAGATGTTAGAATTCAGAGTGAAAAAGGTTATTGTCCCAGCATGTGTATTGTGGAGTATGTCAGGTAGTTCGGTTAAGAAATCTGTCTTCATCTGGCAAAGAACTCATTTCAAAAAGAGGACCTAGATGAATTCAAATGAAGCATTGGGAAGTTTGGAATTAGTCATATAGATAGCCTGTAACAACCTGTGAGACATAAAATTCACATTGGCCATACATAAACTGACAGAAATGCATTTATTGCACGTTATTTTGTCTATAGGTAATTGATGTCAATGCAGAGATCCCTGAGCTGTCTCTACGTGTGCTCAGTTAGCATGTGGCTGGGCTTTACCTCCAGGGCCAACTGAAGTCTGCAGCAGGTCTCTTACTAGAACAAGCTCTGATGTGGTATGGCCAGAATTAAGCTGCAGCTGACAAGCCTGGCTGGATCCAAGCTAACCACTGCAGTCCATTCAAAGTCTTGGTTATACCTTTCATCCTAGCACTCTGATTTATCAGTGCGAGCACAACATAAAATGAATGCTTTAAGTCAGCGTGCTGTGTCTGGGTAAACAATCCTTTCTCAACTCTTGGAAATTCAGTGCCAAAGTGCTCAAGTGACTGGTGCAAGGACTGATTTAAATCTGACTGATGTGAACTCGGCAGAGCTGCATTAGTGTGTCCATACTTTTCTCCTTAGTATCTGTGTTATGTTGGATAGAAAGGCCCACTGCTACTGTGGAGGAATGGAAGTTGTCTGTATTGGCCAACATACTTTAATTTACGGTGTTACCTATCACCTGACATAACTTGATACTAAGAAAGAAAATACGGGCCATGCTCAAACTGTGTTTGGGGAAGAAAAAAATCAAAGTAAAATGATGTAACTTTTCTTGTCTTTGGCAGAAATACAACATAATGGGTAAAGCAGTAGTTTCTTATCTTCCTACTGCCACTAGATAGTGCTAGACCCGTGTTTTAAACAATTTCCTTCACTTTAATTTTAGACTAACTCCCGCTTTAGCTCTTTAGTTACCAAACCTCTTTATTTGCAGACCACTCTACAACAGTGTGGTTGGAGGGCTTGTCATACATCAGGGGACATGTCTGATGCAGCAAATTGAGATGAGGAAAGGCTTCTGTGCTATACTGTAGTCAGGAGGTATGTCACTCAGTAAGCATAGAAATTGAATCTCAAGACCTGTGCCTGTAAAGCCTTTGTGCTGTCTCAGCCAGGGAGTGTAGGTGGCCTCCCTAAATAATGTGATCTGTGAACTAGGTGTACATTATATACTGCGTCCTTAGAGGTTGCCATTGGTCTGCACCGGTCCATTGACTGCTGAGTTATTAGTGTATGCTGTGTCTGGGGTCCAGAAATACCAGTTAACTCTGGAGCGCTGATGGGCTAAACTCATGCATTTAAATACTTTTGAACAAATCATTTGGTATCTGAATCCCTCTAAAACTATAGTGTAATTTTTTTTTTACCCAGGAAAGTGGTTTCTTTTAAATTCTGGGTTATAATACAGGTAAGGTTAAAAAAGAAAATCTGCACAGCCTATTATTTTGTGTCCTCATTTTTAATTCATATATTGCAGGCAAATAGACCTTAGAAGCAAAATACCAGATTTATTAGATATATCTCCGTGGTACTAAAGAAATGCTGCATCTAAGATATGCCTATGCAGTAGTTATGCAACAAAACTGCTTTAATATATGCAAGAGAATTAATACATAAATCTTTTTCCTGTGCATCCTGTCCTTGTAAGCAGGAGGAAATCCTTTATTTGTACAACATACTTAATTACAAGCCAAATAAATAGTAGGGGCCTGATGGTATAAACTATCAAGTATTGCATTGGAATGACTGCAGTTTTTAAAAATGTAACTAGAAAAGAATAAAGGTGAAAGGAACAATGGATACTGTTAAAAGGAATTGAATTTTAAAATGACATACCAAGAATTAATTTAAACTGATTTAGACTCATTAAAATCCTATTTGTGGAGCTCCCCTCTTCTTCATTTCTTAATATCATCCAGCATGACCCCTCTCTTGTCTCTTCTCTTTCATCAAGTGGAAATTATGAAGTAAACCACTACTCCTTCCTCTTCTATGTTTGTACAGAATAGGAGATGAATTCTAGTTCCATGTAGGCAGTGGGACAAAAATCTCTCCAGACTTCAGTAGAGCAGTATTTCAAACCAAAGAGATAAGAAAGCTTGGCTTTATTGCCAAATGATTTGGGTACTCAGCAGGGAAGAAGTAGTCTTGGATTCTGGTCCCAGCTTTCAGAATTATCTACCTTTTCATCCACTGTCTGTTTTAATATGATATTTGTTAATAGTCCTGAGACATGAGAGGCATCAGCTTTTATAGATCCCTACTGAGCAGACATAGTAGCCTGCAGTCATGAAGGATCTAAGCCATAGAAGGCAGATGAGGGTTCAGACATGTGTTTACATTCTTCTTTTTTGGGTACTTTAGAACATATCTCTGCTCAGTTCATGGGCTTCTATATTTCCCTTTTGAGGTTGTTTTCCTTGTGCATATGAGTTCAGGCAGGATTTTTATTCTGCTTTTGAACCAATTATGACTAGTATGACAGTTAATATTCAGTAAAAAAATCTAAGTTTAGACTGTTTCAAATTCTATAAGACTTTGGGCATAATAAGTCATCAGCTTTCATCTCTTAATGTTTAGATTGCGTGAGTGCTGTACTTCCACTGAGTCATGATATTTAGCATTTTCTTAATCTGAAATGCATTTGAGCAATTTGATATAATTTTTTTTAAAGCATTTTTCAATGTTTTCATTATGTGTGTTTGGGACATTTTAATTTAAATTTCATTATTTTGAGCTTTTTCACTATGACAACCAAAACATTAGATTGTAGAAAGGAAAAACTTGAGATTTGAGTATGTTTAGACTGAATAAGTGAAGGCCAGGAGGGGGATCTTAGTTGCTGTCTTCAGCTATCTAATAGGAGATAAGAAAGAAGACAGAGCCACTATTTTCTTGAAACTATACAGTGAAGGAATATGAATTGAAGCTAGGAGATTCTCATTAAAAATTAGGAAAGTTATTTTGACTGTAAAGGTGGTCAAACACTGGAATGGGTCAAGAGAAGATGTAGAATCTCCATCCTTGGATATGTTCAAAAGGGTACTGGATATGACCTCAAGCAACATAACTTTGAAGTTGGAACTCCAAAGTTGACCCTGCTTGGAGCAGTTACCCTTAGAGGTCCCTTCCAATTGAATTTATTCCATGAGTTTGATTTTCCTTTAAAATTTCTGATTATCAGGCATTGGGATCATTATAGTGGCTGAAGTGAATTGTCTTCAGATCCCTGACATAAAAATTAATACGTCTGAATAAAGTCTTTCAATAAAAGACTTTGAATATCAAAGACTTTTGAAAATATTGAAAAAAAAAAATGCCAAACTAATTTATTGGGAAAGTTCATAGTTGGAAAATTATTTCTAAGCTGGTGGCATGCCCAAGATTTTTTTATTTTTTTATTTTTTTTTAACCAGGCAGTGGGGACACTGAGTACACAGATCAGGAAAGAAAGAACATCCTAGAAACCCTAAGGGAAAAAAGGTTCTTACATTCTTTGCTCATGTTTTATCTGAGTGGCAGTAGGGGAAGTAGAGCTTTTAGAAAGTTGGAGTGAATCGGGATCTAGCTCTTCAGTATTACTTACAGAACAGATTCCCTTACGTCCTTCTGGTTTTTATTACCTTTTACATTTCTCTCAGAGGTTTCAATGTCTACTATTTCTGAGATTCTTGGCAGAAGAGTTCAGCTGAAAGGACTTATTGGAAAACGAGCTGTGAAATGTCCCTACTGTGATTTTTATTTTATGAAGAATGGATCAGATCTTCAACGTCATATTTGGGCTCATGAAGGTAAAGCTCAGGTTTTAAGCTGTTGGGTGTATAATGTCTCATATTCCACACAAGCTTTGCTGACATAAAAATTCAAATTTATTGCTATACCTGAATCAAAAACTTCAAGGTACAGTAGGGGTTAAATAATTAATTTAATGGATTTTGGATCACATATGGAATTGCACACTTATAACATGAATAGACAGCTTAAATGTTTTATAAAATGAACAAGTTTTTGATTAATTTTTTTCCAAAACTCATTCATAAACATCTATAAAATATTTTATAATAAATGTGTGTAAGGAGGAGTGAATTAAACACATGCTCAGTCCCTTAAAACAAGTAATTTTCTGTACCTTCTCATGCTACTCCTTTCACATTTGTCTAAAAATAGTTGGTCTGGAAATCCATTAGTAAAACAATTGGAATCCACTTACTGTGGTGTATACTTGTAATTTCTGTGTGTATTTTAATTAAATCATGCTGAGCATGACAGCTAGCTGACAGGACATAAACAGTGATTAAAAACCCCATAAGGGAATGCTGATCATATCCATGACTTTTTGGGGAGAAATTCTAGTAATATGACAACACACAGTTTAAAAATGCCTTGAATTTAAGATCTGTGCCCAGTAAAATCCTGTGTCTGCCCAGTCTTTTTATAACAGGTGGAAGACCACTTGTATGCTCTTTAGTTAGTTAATAATCTATGGAACAGATTGCTTATGGTGTTTGAACATTATTTTGGATTCTTTACCCATCCCTCCACATAAGGGGGATAATAAAATCTCGAACTCATATTTTGATTGCAGAGTGTTTGCTCCCATGCAGATAGCTCAGACATTTATACTGGTACTGCTTATTTTTTTGAACGCTTTAACTATGAGCTTACCTGCCTGTGTACTATAGTAGTGGTCCTCTCCAGTAGCCTTTACTCCATCAAGGTGGTTAGATAATGCTGGTGTAGGCTTAGAGCAATTACGTGTGTATTCCATAGATAGTTTGTTTTTCTGCCATGAAAACTTGGAACTCATCTAGCTAGCAGGAAAAAAGTGGCGAACAGACTTTTATTCCCAAATCAAAGTGTGCAATCAAGTCTGCTTAAAGTAAGCTATAATTCCTTACGCTTGTAAATCTAGTTTTAAGGTCATGAATATCAATCCAAAACTGACAGAATCTCATGAAACCGTTGAGCTACTCTGCCAATTCAGATTTATTCAACTTTTCTTTGAAGGATTTACTTTGTTCATGTAGACCTTCTGCTAGATGACACACTGTGCGTCTCTCTTATTACATACTTTGGACTGTTTGAGAGAAGTGAAATTTTAAGTGCTTGCATCTTTCCAAGGGGAAGGAAAAAAAAAATACTGTCTGAGCCATTACCAAATCTGATAGTAATTAACAATAGAACACAGCTTTTCACATTTAACTTCTGCTTACATATTAAGTACCTAATGAAGTGGTCCTCCTTAAAACAGGTTTCTTTGTAGTAAATAGAGAATGATAAATATCTGAAGACTTTTAGAGGGAGATTTGGTATGTACACCAGCTAGGCATCAACTTAGGCAGTCTGGATTCTGCTTCTAAATGAAGGCTGGACATACCAAGGTCAAAATATTAGTATTTGCTTGGTTAAACTCAGTACCTGACTTCAATACGGAAGTATTTAATTCTGAAAGAACCTTTCCTTTCTTTTAGTAAGTTAAATGATGCTGTCAAGAGCTCAGTATCATTTACACAGAAGCTATAGGTGAAATTTATTAAATGTAGATATGAAAATTTTAAAACATTACCTTGTTGTCCATATTGCTCACGTGATCTGAAATTTCTTTCAAGGAAATATCCACCCTCTCATCAAAAGGTACAGCTTGTTTCTTCATAGTATATTTTTTTATTTTTAGGTGTAAAACCATTCAAATGTTCTCTATGTGACTATGCCACTCGCAGCAAGAGTAACTTGAAAGCCCATATGAATCGTCACAGCACTGAGAAAACACACCTTTGTGATATGTGTGGGAAAAAGTTCAAATCAAAAGGCACTTTGAAAAGCCATAAACTCCTTCATACTGCTGATGGTAAGTGCATATTTATTAAATCCAAGTTTATTTTAGGGCAATAAATACTGGCTGTACTATAGGACCTTAATAACAAGCTTTTTTCAGTTGAACACTAAGTGCTGCTTACAAATTTTATTTATTCCCAGGAGACACTGTGAAATAATTCAAAACTTTGCAAAATTAATTTCTGTGAAAGAGACAAATGTCTCTGGAATACTTGAGTTTTCTGAAATTTTGTCTTGGCTTTATATCCATTTGTATTCTTGTGGAGAATTGCTGATCTCAATAGAAATTTGAAAATACAAATAGTTCAGTAGCTAAGTCTCTTACTACTTTCTTCTGTGAGAATATTGTTAGGAATTGTCCAATCCAGTAGCCCAATAGAGGCAAGGCTGCTGCAGCTCTGTGTCCCCAGGTCCAGTCAGCCGGTGGCAAGTCTGAGTGTGTATTCTCTATAGGCTTATATGCGGCACATGCATTTGCTCTGTAATTTTAATATTTCAGTGATGACAGCAGAAAAAAATGAGATGCAAATCCAGAAAAATAGCATATTTTATATAAAAATTAGGAACACAATAATACTTTATTCCTCTGTGATTATCAAATTGAAGGAAATGATTTATCAGCATAAGTTGTACAGACCTTCATTATGACTTACTAGCTTTGTTACTCGTACAACCTTGTGAAACTTCATTCTGCTTTATTTACCATTTCATTTAAATTATTTTTAAAGCATTTGCATATTCATTAGCATTGACCTTTCCCAAAAAGCACTCAATGCTCTGTTACATCTTAGAATGTATGTGAAATTTTTGTCAGAGATATTTATTTTTATTTATGTTTATATCTGTATGTATAAGTGAAAGAGATGATCCCTTTTACATTGATGGATATGACACGTATTATAGGAAACATACAGTTACTGTAGTAATACCGGAGTTACTGTAGTACTACCATGAGTTAGTAAATAACTCGTTATTCAAAAAGAACTTTCCAATATTTTGAAATAACTTGGTTGGTAACAAGCAGGTGTTGCACATACATCTAAACTTCATATGCAAGCATCAAGATTTTACTTATCAAATGCAATTCTCAGCTGGTTGCTGGCTGGGAGAAGACAGGTTGTATTTGAATTAAAAGGAAATTTGGAGCATGATCAGACTATAAGGAAAAAATTGGTCTTTTTCTATGGTGCTGTAAAAAAAAATCTGTGCATGGGGTTTCATTTCAAAACCTTTCTGTTTTGTTTTCACCATCTGGCATGTCGCAATACTGGCATTCAGCAATGAAAGTTGAATTCATTTTTACCTGTAAGTTAGTTCTCTGTCTTGGAACAAAATATGTATGTGTGTAAGTAAATATTGCAGTTCAACTGAGGCTGCTTTGAAATTTGGCACTGTTAAGAATAGCACTATAGTTGTGCAGAAGCTAGCTTAGAAGGGATTTGGTTTAAAGGTTTGAAGTTAGTTTTAAACATTTAACTGCATGCAAGAAACTATATACTCTTACCATTTACTGCTAGGTCAGGCAGAAGCCTTGACTCTGGAGGCAGTGTAATTACCAAGATCCTTCAGACTGTCATCATCTTCTGCAGTAACTGAGGTGACTGCCTGTTTGGTTTTGATCCACCTCCCTTTTTGACTGATACAAATAAATCCCAAGACTTAGGCTCTTATACCTTGCTTTTTACACTTCCAGAAGTGTTCCAGGAAATTCCTCCTACCTTTGGAAACAGAATCTCACTGTCTGTGGAGACTTAAGTAATTTTCTTCACTAAATCCACCCCAGTGGACACTTGTGAAAAACAAGGTAGTGTTTGTCACTAGGAATGTAGTGTTTGATTTGTCAAGGGACTCAGCCTCTTGAATGCTGACAGTTTCTCTTTGCCCAGTGTCCCTCTCTGTAGTGACAGCAATTCAAAAGTTCTTACATTTATTTTTTTTTTTAGCACATCTAGTATTCTTCATTTATTTCACAAATAAAAAGAATTTGAAAGATGTTTCACTGTTTATGAGTCTTGTCTTCCTGACTTATGAATCCAGGCAATTTTTGTTCAAGTATCATCCCTGCAAGGTCGATTTAACCAGTAGAATATAAAGTAGTTTTCTGTCTGCTTTATTCTTCTCCAGAAGACAGACTTCTCAAGAGTGGCATGATAGAATACAATTCTGTAGTCCAGGCTTATTACTGTTTGTGATTAGAAATAAACCAGAAACCCTGCTTTTCATTATTTTAATTAGAAATCAGAAACTGTCTTAAGGTTCTTCTGAGCTGTGTTTTATGGAAACTTTCATACTGAGTATAAAATGCTTGTAACTTTTTTGAGCAAGATCCAGAATCTAAAGAAACCTGATCTCTTCAGGATAATACAGAATATTCAGTATTGTACTTCTCCATCATTTCTTTTGGTTCTTTTGCTTGTGGAGTAGCTTTTAGCACATACTTGTTCCATGTCAGCCAAATACACTTTGCCAGCCATAGACATTTAATACAGCAATTAAGTCTTTCTGTATTTAATACAGCTTGTAATTTGGCTGTAGGTAGCAGGACTGATAGAAACTTAAAGATGAAATATGGAGAATAGGACTATGACACCCAGAGAATAAAAGGAAGGAAATGGTGTTATTTTAAATCATAAGGAAAAAATATTTGGGAGAGAGAATGCATTGAACGAAAAATAAAAGATACCTTCAGAATGATGGTATGTTTGGGAGTTTCACCCTTTACAAAGCCACAAACAGCAACAGATGTGTCTTAAAAATGTCAGAGAGAATTTATTCCTGTTAGAGAATCCTAAAAATACATCATGACAATATCTGACCATCTTGCTTTAAGAAGGACTCAGACTAGTGATTTCAGGGCCAAAACCAGACTGTTAAGATCACGAAGTCTGATCTTTAGCAGAGTACAGGCCATAACTTAATCTAAGAATTTCCGCTGGACTGTAGTATATCTTCTTAGGAAGGGCTTAGCAGACTTGATTTAAAGACTTCTTATGACAGGGCATCCGTCTCATTTCTAGTAAATTGTCACAGTCATTACTCATGTTCTCTGTTAAAAATACTGACTATTTTAGACTAAATGTTCTGAGCATTGGCTTTTGTTAGTTGAAATTCCAGTTATTGCTTAGTTCTCCTCAATTCTATTGTTGCTGTTTCAGGCTGGAGAGTTAATATACCTTCAGTATCGATGCCTGACTATAAAGCTCACAGGCATGTAAAGAAGTTTCAAGTGAAACTTGAATTAGCACCAAGAAAATTTGAATGTATTTGAATCATAGCAATTCAGTACTTGGGACAGCAGTAGGTAAAAACATGTGAACATGACCAAACACCTGTGTTTTAAGGATTTCCAAATATGCTTTGCAAATAGAAAAATAACTGCGCCTGCAGTTGTAAATAACTGATTTCCTTCTTCCCTTTAAGGTGCGGTATAATGATTCTTTTTCTTTTCCCAAGTATCTATCCCAGGAGCATCTAGACTGTTTAATGCTTATAATTTAAAGATGGCACTCAAACCTTTTTTCTTCTTTACTCTGATCTCAGAGCAAGTGCCAGACTTCTACTGTTGTTCATTGTTCATTCTTACCATTTCAAAATCATCTTTATGAGAAAATACAATCAGTAAACAGAAAAAAGTTACTCCATTTTCTATTCCCATTTCAGGAAAGCAGTTTAAATGTACAGTGTGTGACTATACAGCTGCACAAAAACCACAGCTCCTACGGCACATGGAACAACACGTCTCTTTCAAGGTAAGAAAATATATAAATCATGCTTATTGATCAGTCATTTAGAAATACATGGAATGTCAGACAACAGTTTTAAAACTGGCACACTTTCCTTTTTGTTGGCAATTCTGGCATCTTAACATTTTAATATTTGGGGAATTTTGACTTTATATTCAGACCTTGAAGGTAGGGTTATTTTGCTTATGGACAATTTGTAATTTGTATCTTTACCTGCCAAAAATATATGTTTGTTGCAATATAAACCAAAAATTATTGTTTTATTTGACTGTGAGTTCTTGAGAGAACTAATCTAATACGTACCTTAAAATGTCCTAGGGAATAGGAAAGCAAATCCTATACATTGCTGTTCATTGAGCACCTTAATTTTCTCTGAAAGTTTGACAGTCTAATGTATTATAAATGACTTTATGTACTTGAAGAAAATTGAAGAGAGTTAATTTTAAAACATCCCATTTATGTGAAACGCGTCTTGCAAAGATTTTTGAAGATTGTTAATGTTTCTATGAAGTGTTTAGATTAGAGTTAGGGTTTATTTTAATAAATGTAGTATGGTTTTATTCTTAAATTTCACATGGTTCTCAGCATGATAGGTCTAGCTATAATTGTGAAATGTTATAGTCAAGAGATAGAAATTATACTAGTTTATTTTCAAGAAAAATCCAGTATTTTGTGTGTATGAAAATGTTCATTTTAATGTAACGCTTTATCTTAGCAATGAGACTGTTTCTAATTGAAAACTCCATACTGTTTCCATATGCAACATCTTTCATTATACAACAAATAGTTTTCCTCTATAAAGAGTACACTTCAGCCATTCTTAATAAGTACCAATGCTATGTAACTCTTTAAAGCAGAAAGGAAGACAGTCTTTTGATTCATGGTTTAAATTTTGGAAGACAAGACATGTAAGAAAATTAAGCAATTCATCTAAAGAGATGATATGCTTTGAACAAGTAATTTTTCTTTCTTAAGTATGTAGTTTTGCTGTGGATTTACCTTCTTAAAAGGATTTTTTGTAAATGGAAGTACATAATTTTTGGTTTTTAACAGCTAACAGGGTGAATGTACTCATAATACAGTTCTTGAAATACAGCTGGTTCTGACCTTGGGATCAGCTTTAGAACTGTTGACTCAGCACCTCTTTTCAGTCCTCTGTCAGCCTGCATGTAAGTGTGGCTACTCAATGCATTATGAAGAGAACTGCAAAACACTGAAATAGGTCAATCAAGAGTATTTGTCAAAGGGAGTTCAAAAACTATCTGTTAATAATGCGTTGCCTTCTTCTGGGACAGTTGTTTGCATGCATATCAAACTCAGAGGAATGTCAGTAGTTATGCAACCTAATAATAATTTAATTCATCATATTTCCAAGCTCTGTGAATTTGCAATCCTGCTATCCAACAGCAGGTAACATACAGGACATGCAAGTACATAGTGTTACAAGAACACAGCAGTCTGTCTGGATTATTTTCTTGAACAAAACACAGTTTCAGCAATAGAAAAGGAGAGTACACCCTCTGAAAAAAATAAACAGCTGAATGTTACACTACCTTCTGATTTGTAAGGTTAAGGGAATCTGGACACCACTTTTCTGCCTTATTTTTGCTGTTCAGAGTCTGAAGAAAGGTCATGAGCAACAAGCTTGCGGGGAATATTCTGGTCAATGGACCCTGACTGCAGACATTTCCCTGCTTTAAATTCAGCTTCTTAATAAACGTTTCTGTACCAACCATTTTCTGCTGACTAGGTTTAGGTGGGCCTGGTTGCTGTGCATGAAACATTTTACATCCCATTCTGAGGTACTTGAATTTTTTCCCAGGGACTTGGATCAATGTCTGTATTCTTTTTAAGGACCCTAATAGTTATGTCAAGCTTCCTGTAACTGACATATCTCAGTCAGAAAGTTATTCTCAAAGGCTAACTTAAGGCAAAAACTCTTGTTTTGCTTCTCTCCCTGTCAGTTTAAGGGAGATGTATGTTCTAAAAAATTAATTAATTTGGTTCCCAAAACTTAGCTCACCAAATGGTCAGGTGAATGCAAGTGCCAGTGAAAGGGAAGCAGTTGGGAGCATGTTGGAGAGAGAAGTAAATGAAAGGGAAGAGATCAACCCTGTCAGGTACGGTTATCTGTTAAATTAGGTTGGCTGTACAATTGTACTGTACCTTCAGTTATTTTAGTTCTCTTACTCCCCCTTTTCAGAACAAAGCTCACAGCAGCTGAGTCATTTTCTTGTAGTAGAAATTCTCCACGTGGTCAGACATGTGATCATCAATTATGAAAACACAGTTTACTGAATTATGAAAAGTAGGTAATGATCTTACAATGTTGAGAATACTTGGTGTCTTGCCCGTAATAAAAAGTAGCAAATTTCAGGTAAAGTTTGGTGACAATTTCCATTTGTATTGAATTTTGGAAAGTCTCCCTGGAAGATACCTAAACCAGAAGTGTGAACATGGTTTCTCAGGATCAACACATTGCAGCTTAGACCTTATCCTGAAGAGGACAGGAAATATGGTCTAACATTTTCCTTTTTGCTTCTAGCCTTTCCGTTGTGCACATTGCCACTACTCCTGCAACATATCTGGTTCCTTGAAGAGGCACTACAACAGAAAGCATCCTAATGAAGAGTATGTAAATGTAGGTTCTGGGGAGCCTGCAGCAGAAGCCCTTATCCAACAAGGTACATCTCCACCATATAAGGCATGGGTTCTTTTCAGAACTAAACTTGGTGTAAAGGTACCCCTTTTGTGCAATATGCGTTCCTCAGTTTATTGAGTGTTATATGATAAATATTACTACTTTATATTAATTCTGAAATGGCCACCTTTTACCCTTCCTTCAGTGCCCTTTGTTCTTGGTTTCTAAGGGTGGGTGAACCACAGTTTTGATTGACCTTGCTGTACTATTCATTGTTGCATACATTTATCATTTTCACTTGTTTGTCTGTTTTTGTAAGTAAAGTATCACTATCTGTTGAAAAGAATGATAAATTTCTATCATTCTACTGATAAATGTCTATGACAGTTTTGCAAGGTTGAACTCAAGGTAAGGTTGAGAAGATGTAGGGAAAGAGACTGAAGAGTAAATGGCAGCAAATTATTCTCCCACTAGAAAAATTTTGGAAAAAAGATAGTACAGATAAAACAGGTTACAAACTGTTATGCTCAGATTCTTGTTTATGGACAAAGGAAGCACACCTTATCTATATAAGTAAAGCCAAGAAATTCTTAGTATAATGGAAATTATAACAGTGTAATTCAAGAATCACCATTAATCTAGATCTAATTATTATTTTAAAAATAATAATTTGAAAATAATTTAAATAATTTAAAAAATAATAATTTAAAAACAATAATAATAATAAAGTTTCAAACAAACTTGATTAAACTTTTTTGGCAGATTATCAAAGTAAACTAGGAAGAGTTAACAATGTCATGTCATCTTCACCCAACTATCTGTGCTTTCGAGTTTCTACTGTTTATGTTAACATACAAAGATGTAAACCTAAGTTTTCTGTCTATCTACAAAATGACGCACAGCGTGAATTTAACACTATGTTAACTTTCTGAATATGCAGGGTTACAAGTAAAAACCAGCACGGTGAAATCATCGGCATCCGATTTTCTACACTAGATTAAACAGCTTTGACTTCTTTTTCTTATGGAAGTCATTTGGTCAAATGCCAGATCTCAGCTGCCTG